GCAGCCCTGTATAATAGTAGTACCCTATTGTAGTGTCCTATATCAGGATAGATGTTGAAATGTTCTTCTTGACAATGACTATGAAACCATTCCTCTTTGTCATTCCTGGCATAGTCTGCCATACAATTATCTGCTTCAGAATGGTCAATATCAGTCCATTTCAGATCACTAATGCCCAGGATACCAGTTTTTATGTATTCCATTCCATTTTAAGTGACTTCCATCTTTTGTAGGTTCATACTGTGTACAACCCACATACATTCTGATTATAAATGGATGTTTGTAGCTGTTTCTTCTCATTTGGAAATGAAGGTTCCAAAACTTATACTCTCTCTGTTCATGTCATTAACATCAATTCTATTTTGAAGAGGCAGCTCATCCCCAGTCATTTTTTGGTATCTTTCAACCCGAGGAATTCATTTTCTGATACTATATCAGACAATGTCTCAGTGCTATAAGATTTTCACTAGTCAACTTTTTTAGAAGAAGATTGCCAGGTTCTTCTTCCTAGTGTGTCTAGAAGCTCTACTAAAACCTGCCCACCAGAGATGATCCTCCTGGCATTTGAAATACCAGTGGCAGAGCCTCTAACATTACAGAAACATACAAGTCACCATACTATGACTAACTGACATGACTGGTGGTAAATGTGTCTTTGGGTAGAAATTCCAGTCATTCCCACTTATTCAAAGCCAGTATGTCTGGAACTAGAGATCTTGTAAGGAAAATGCTCAGAAGAGATCTTAGAAGAAAGGAAATGATTTTATTTTGGAGAGGAGAGGGGCAGGAATATTTTCTTTTTATTTTCAGCATGACCTGCTATATTAATGGCAATTTAATGTGATATTGTTTCTAAAAAAAAAAAATGACCCTTCACCTAGCAAGTAAGAATGTTCAATAAAAAGGAGATCAACCATATCACCCTAGATCAATGTTCTGAAGGTGGAAATTTCCCTTTGTCTATTTCTACATTGGAAATTGATTAACTTTTCAGAGGACCCAGGAGTTTCTCCTGGTTCCTGTGATTCAGTGTCAAGGAAAGGCCCATTTTAGCTGTGCTCTGCTTGGCAGATTTATGAAATGGACTTTAAATACATTAAATTTTAAAGAGGAAATCAGAGTCCAATCACCACGCTTGTTAATGGCTTCAGATGCCTTGGGGCACATCTCTGCCAGGTTAGAGCAACATGCCCGGGAAGATTCTGTTTACCTGGCAGCTACCTGGGAGCCATGTGGGCCTGCCTGGGGTGCCAAGAGCCCACAGATGCCTCTGTCTAGTGTAAGCCCAGTGCTTCATGCCCTCGGCACCCTGTGCTGACACCTGTAGTGTAGAGACTTGGCAGGCAGGTTTTCCCATTGGCAAATGTCATTCACAGGATCTGAGCTATTCTGAAAAAAATGTTTGTTCCCAGCACATTTGGATCATCTGTGGGCCTCTGCCCCTTTCCTTTGGGGTCTTAGCTATAGCTGGGGACTGAGTGCTGATGGAAGGGATGACAGGCTAGCAGGCTGGTGCCCTGGGGCTGTGGACAGCAGGCCCTAGGTGGTAAGCAATACAGGGCCCGAGTGTGCCTTATTGTCTGTGACTTCCAGATCTGTGCTCCAAGAAGCAGCCTCTGGCCTCGGTGGTCCTGCTAGAGTGGAGGCCCCTGAGAGGGGAAGTCTGAGTTCCGAAGTCTCTGAGCAGATGCTCTTCTCTGGAGTTTTGTGGATTCCATCATTTCCTCAGAACTGAATACAGCCTGAGCAAGCTGCTTAATATTTTGAATTCTTAATTTCTTCTTCTGAAAATATCTATGACCTGGGGTTAATAGTGCTGCCTACGACAGAGGATGGGTGGCAGGTGTAAGGAAAGAAGAATACTACAGATGGTAATGATGACAACAATAATACCCCCACTATCATTTACTGGGGTGATGCAAACAGTTAACGTGCTTAAGTGAAATTTTGGAGGTGCGAGTCCACCTAGATGAACCCCAGAAGAAAGGCCTGGTTATCTTCTGCCAAAAAGACCAAGCATTAGAAACCCTCTGGAGCACAGTTCTACTCTGACATACATAGGGTCGCCATGAGTCTTAAGCAACTTAATGGTAATTGGCTTACTGGCCATCATTTACTGAGAACCTATCATGTGCCAGACACATCCCTTCATGTGTCTTGGTTCATTAAACCTACACAAGGACCCTGAGAAGTTCACAGATAAGGAAATGGAGACAACGTCAGGTCAGGTGGTGTCCCATGACCTAGTACATGCTAGAGCCAGAACTTGAATTCAAGGAGTGTGCCTTCTTAGCCAGTATCCCACATAGCAAGGAATGATTCTGTGTTTAATATTGAATGGTGCCCCAACTCCCAAAAAATATGTCCATGCTCTAATCCCTAGAACCTGTGACCATGTCTTTGGAAAAAGGGTCTTTGCAGATATAGTTGAAGATCTCAAGACAAGATCCTCCTGGATTATCCAGGTGGGCCCTAAATCCAAGGACAAGCAATGCCTACAGCCCCACAAACTGGAAAATACAAGGGAGGCTTTCTCCCTTCAGAGACTTTAGAGTGCAGCTCTGCAGATACCTTGATTTCAGTCTTCTGTCCTCCAGAACTTAGAAGTTCTATTGTTTTAAGCCTCAAGTTGTGTTACTGCAGCCCTAAGAAACAAATACATCACAAATAAAAGGCCTGGTTTAGTGCCAGGCACATAGTAGAAGCTGAATCAATGATAGGGCATTCCCCACCACAATCCTTCATAATGACCTGGCCTCAGTCTTGAGAAGTCACTGTACCATGTTGGTGGCTTCTTTAGAGTGACATCGAAGATGAAAGTGCATCCTTATCACCTGTCCTATGTGGGTGGATGCTGTGTGGTCTCCAGGGAAGAGCTGTTCCTGCTTCCCATTCTGCCCACAGAGACTGATGTTGTCCTTCCGACACACTTACACACCTGCCCCGTGTAGCTCTAGAGTCCCAGGTCCTCAGAAACAAGCCAACAGAACAGGAGCAGGAATGCAGGCCTCTATGCCACCCTACAAGACCTTTCTAAAGTGTTGAAGAGCAAAGATATCAGCTTGAGGACTAACGTGGGCCTGACCCAAGCCATGGTATTTTCAGTGACCTTGTATGCATGCGAAAGCTCGACAGTGAATTAGGAAGACCATAGAAGGATTGATGCTTTTGAGTTATGGTGTTAGAGGAGAAAGTTGAAAGTGTCATGGGCTACCAAAAGAACCAACAGATCCGTTTTGGAAGAAGTGCAGCCAGAGTGCTCCTTGGAGGCCAAGATAACTAAACTTCGTCTCTCATACTTCAGACATATTGTCAGGAGGGATCAGTCGCTGGAGAAGTAAGGTGGAGGGTCAGAGAAGAAGAGGAAGACCCCAACGAGATGGACTGGCCAAGTGGCAGCATCGATGAACTAAAGCATGGCAACAGTAGTGAGGTTGGTCCAGGATTGGGCAGTGTTTTGTTCTGCTGTGCATAGGTCGCTATGGGTCAGTACTGACTTGATGGCACCTAACAACAACAACATGCCACCCTACAGGCAGTCTATCCTGACAGGCCTCTTCTACAATGGCCTTGAGTATAGCCTCAGGGAGCAAGGTTGCTCTTTCCATACTCCTTTATGCTGGGGATACTGACTACCCGCCATCACCTTGTGGTTGGACAAAGGGACACATGTGCTGTGTTCTAACCCATAGCCTTTGGAGATGGAGAATTCCTAATAGGTGTTGAATGCTCTTCCACTTGGGAAAATTCTTAGATTAGGTTCTTTTGCAAATTTAATATCTGAGTCTGGATGGGAGAAACTGAGAAAAATAGTTAGGAAATTCTCCTTCATGAGGATGTAAAAGGACAGGAAAATTCTTGCCATGCCAAGAGGTAGGAGCTGGGAGTGGAGTGTGGGACCAGGGAGAAGCTGGAAGAAGGGACTCTGCACATGATACTGGACCCCAATAACTCAGGCTTGCTGGTAACAGGCTAATTTAGAAAAGGGGTATCTGGCTTCCAGTCTACTGTAATTCCTTCCCATTCCTCATTCCTCCAACTGCACCCTAGAGTCTCAGTAAAATGTGGTTACTTTCTAGTACAGTCGTAGGACCTTGGAGGCAGGCTGGAGGACTAGTGCCTGATTTGGGACAAAGCAGAATAGGCTGGAGGGGTCTGTAGAAGTGATCGGCAACTGTGAATAGCAGCAGGAGACAGTAAGAGGTTCCTGGAGGTCGGGGTGGAGCCTCAGAAATGCATGAAAGTGGACACACAACATTCTGCAAGCAAGCAGCCTGGGGTTTGAGCTGTTTGTGTTTACATACTATAGAACCAAAGCTTTTGCTGTTGACCCCAATGCCAGGCAGCACCAGGCATTACAGAGTAGAACTGTGTGCTAGGGTTTTATTGGCTGTAATCTGATGGTCATGTCGCCCTTTCATGGCACTGCTGGGTGGATTTGAACCACCCACCTTTAGGTTAGTAGTTGGATGTAAACTGTTTGCAACATCCAGGGACCTCCATGCATTATAGTGAATGGGATATTATAAGGGTAAAGGACTTGGGGATACTCAAGCGACAGCTAGAGAGGCATTTGGCAGAAACCCAATACTGCTTGCTTTGATTCTTCCTGCTGAGGGAAGTAAAGAACTCAAAGAAGAAAATATTTATTTCCCAATTAAAACATCAGAGCCCAGCCCCTCTGAAGTGTGCGATTTGCCAGCTAGCTGAGAGTGCTTCAAAGCTTGTTTGTAAATATTGGCTGAAGGTGGCTGGTGAGAAGAAACTGACATGATTTTGTTTGTAAGCTATCCCCAGAGGCATTGAGCATCAGCTCTCAGGATCCCAGGAGGGACTGAAGACAGTTCCCCTTATGGAGAGAGGTGTCCTCTGCATTCTTGCTATATAGATGGTTACAAACAACTCTCCTCACGTTCATCTCCCATGTTCTATTCCATTTACACCCTAAATGAGAAATTGGATTCCTCCCTAACTCAATTTCCATGGAGGGCAGTACCTACCTGAGCCAGCTCAGAGCTGCTGAGGTGGCTGCTGTCATCTGCATCCAAGTCCTTAAACAGAGACTCCACCAGAAGGCGCTTCTGGGAGGCTGGGTCTTGGCTGCTGTCCCCTTCTTGGAGTGGCTGCAGTTGGGTCTGGAGCGCCAGAAGGACATTCTTTAGGCGGGTGTACTCAGCCATGGTGCACGTATCACCTGAAAGACAAAAAGAGGTTATTGCAGTGAGATGCATCCCTGGGTGTCAGAGGACATTCCCTCCACCTGTCCATCCACTCATCTCAGGCACAAAAACGGTAGGGCATTTGCTGTGTGCCTGTCTATCCACCCATCCATCACACAGAGACTTATTGAGCACGTACTACATGCTGGCCTTGATTTGAGTGCTGGATGGAATGGGGGAATGCAGCCAAGGGAATTCATAACCGTAGCCCCCCACAGCAGCTTTGGGAAAGCCAGCTCCAATTCCATTTTATAACAGCTTGTATTTGCCTTAATCCTACCTTGAAGGCTGCTTTTGAATACTTGGTCTTAAAGATTAGGGAGTTTTAGTTAACAGGACTAATAAGCCCTGCTTAAATTAATTAGGTATACTCCCAGAGCTGGATTACTTCAAAACAAACATGTGTACACAAGCCTATGACCAAGAAACAAAAGGAAGCTTTACGAAATGAAAACCGAAGCATACAGCCCATTACTCTTGGGCCTTTTATTACGGGCCTGTTTGTTGAATCGCATCAGAGCTACACAATGTGTTAGCAAATGACATCTGTGATGTGTGGTAACATGACATAGTGTCTCTTGATGGTGACGAGTCACTAGGATGAACACCATATGGGGCATGGCCTGTAAACAGGGCCCAAGGGATGTTAGCAGATCCCATTGCTGACCTTCCAGCAGGGATGGAACACTTGCTCTGCCTGGCTTTGATGAGTCCTGGAGAATGGGAATGGGCTCTCTGGGGTGTGGGGTGCCTCCCCTCAATTCCTGGTCCAGTTCAGGGTATCAGGTCCTAGGTTGGGACTGGAGAATGGAAATACAGCAATTCTGAGGAGCACAGGCCCCAGAGTCCTATGTCTGCTGCTGCCTGGCTGGGAAGCCATGGCCATGTTTCCTCAGTGACTTCATCTGTGAAGTGGGAATATATACTTCCCACATAGGGTTGATACAAGGATTAAATAAGAAAAATGCATCAAGGGCTTAGCACTGACTGGATGGGCATCATATGCTGCTGGGTCGATTTTCATTCACAGGGACCCTATGTGACAGAGCAGAACTGGCCCATAGGGGTTTCTAGGCTGTAATGAATCAGAATTGACTTGAGGGTACTCAACAACAACAACAACAGCAACAGTCTTTATGATGACAGATCAACAGGTCTTTCTCCCTGAACCACAGGTGGTTTCAAACCAACAACCTTTCTGTTAGCAGACAATTGCTTAATCATTGTGGCACTTTTAAAAGTACTCATAAAATGGTAACTACTTTCCCCTTATCCATTATTGGAACCACATTTGATGAGGAACAATAAACAGGGAAGCTACTTGATAAGAAAAGAGATAACGGAGAAGTTTGTCTGTTTCTCTCCCTCCCTTCCTCCCTCTACAAGTCTGGATGGCCCCAACCACTTTCTCCTGTATTTGTTTGTGTTTCTAAAATTTCTTCCAATTTGTGATCAATTGATTCCCATCAGAAACAGATGCCCACTACCATTTCCTCTTACATGTTTACTCAGAAAAAAAAAATCAATTGCTGTGTTCAATATAATCAAATCTATTTGCTCTCTGGGACTCTCCATGGCATGCTTGGGCAAGGATGAAGCTCTCTCATCCTCCACTCCCCCACCCCCACCCCACCCCTTGCTAACAGCCTTCTTTTTCCTTGTTAGGAAGTGCATTTCTGAGAGGGCTTTGGGTCGCTAAATTGCAAGCCCAATTCTTAACTCAGTATAGCTGCACAATGTTGGAAATAGTGGCCTTGTCCCAGGGAAAGATGTGGTTGGCTATTGAATTTTTCTACTTTCTAGATTTGGATAAAGGCCATTTGTTGCTAAGAAGAATAGTCTTGATCAAGATATTTGCCCCTAACCTACAACATTGGGTGAAATCTAGTCCTGGCAAAAGGACAAGCAGTCAGGATGCAAAATATGAGCAGATAAATGCTATTGTCAATAGTGATGAAAGTATGTGGAGGACCTGCATGGACCAGTCCTGGAGAGACACACCAGGACGTCTTATATTCAGATGCTGGGAAGATGGTGTACACAGTGGATGGATACGGTATCAATACCCAGAAATACATGCTAGGCAGTAGGAATCATGTAGTCTGAAGCCAGCAGTGCAACATGTCTGAAGATGGGGAGAGTGGGAACAAAATAAGGTAGAACAAGGAAGAAGAGGCACTTAGGTAGGGACTCAGGAGCCATACATAGGAGAGAGTGAGGGGAGCTATGGCAGGCTTTCTGGCACTGTAGGTCACACTATGACGCTGTAGGATCAGCATTAGATTGCAAACCACAATGTCAGCAGTTCAAACCGACCAGCTGCTCCTTGGAAACACCACACAGGGTTGCTATGAGTCGGAAGGGACTCAATGGCACTTAACAACAACAAGAAGATTACATCATTCAAAGGAACCCTGATGGTGTAGAGGTCAAGTATTTGGCTGCTAATTAAAAGGTCATTGGTTTAAACCCACTGGCTCCTCTGCTGAAGAAGAATGTGGCAGTCTGCTTCTGTGAAGATTCATAGTCTTGGAAACCCCACGGGGGCAGTTTTAGCCTGTCCTATAGCAACACCCTCGGAAACCCTGTGCAGGGTCGCTATGGGTCGGAACCGACTCGACGGCACTTAACAACAACAACAACAACATAGCAATACTATAAGTCAGACTGAACTCTATGGCAATGGGTTTGGTAATGATTTCTTGTTTTCTTTTATCAAGGTCCCTCACTCTGCATGTCCTGTGCCGGGCACTGGGGGTCTGAAAAAGTCAAGTGGCCCCTGTAAGGAGGTCTTCAATCCTTTACCTCAGGAGCAGCTGTGTTCTAAGAGAGTCTCAACTGAGGACTCTGCTTAAGCCCTCAAGATTAGATCATTTGTCCATCATTCCTGAGCACCTCCAGTGACCTGGTAGCAGTGACCACACAGGGAATGGTGGCCTTGTGGTAGAGATGGTCACTCTTGGGTTCAAAGTCCAGACTCATTGGGAAGCCGTCTGATGTTTGCCTGACTTTGCGATCTGGAATCTGTGGAGGTGGGAGGGAGGAGAACTTTCTCTTCTGCCCTCTTCCGGTTCCCAGAGGTAGGTGCCCTAAAACCTGCAGCTTCCAGCATATTCCCTGAGGCAGGCCTTGGTTTCCAGGCTGGGTATCTCCTAGTCAGGTGTGAAAAAGTGACAATGACATTATGGGAGTCTCATTTCCTACTCTTCACTCACACTTGTGGTATCAAATAGGAATGATTTACGGAGGTGGAGCAGAGGGTATCTGTGAACCTGTTAGACCTGGTCTTTACCTGCCCTGTTGCCAATGTTATACATTGCTCTCATTATGTTATATTAAGTGCCTTTGAGTTGGTTCTGACTCATAGTGACCCTGTATAAGGTTTCAGAGGAGCCGGTGGGTTTGAATAGCCAACCTTGCAGTTAGCAGTCCAGTGCTTATCCTACAGAGCCATACTAAGACTCCATGTCTCAGTATGTATGTATATGTTGTTGTTAAGTGCCATTGAGGTGGTTCCAACGCATAGCCACCCTGTATAGGGTTTCCAAGGAGTGGCTGGTGTGTTTGAATTGCCAACCTTGCAGCTCAAACTGACCTTATGCATTATCTTGCAGCACCACACCAGGACTCTCTCTATGTATATGTTGTTGTTAAGTGCTGTAGTTTCAGTTCCAACTCACAGTGATCCCGGATAAGGTTTCCAAGGAGTGGTTGGTGGATTTGAACCACCAACTTTGAGGTTAGCAGTCCAGTGCTTTTAGCCTATAGTGCCACACCAGGACTATAGATAGATATAGATACATTGTTGTTCAGTTGTTAAATGCCGTCAAGTCAGTTCTGACTCATAGCTACCCTGTATAATGTTTCTGAGGAGTGGCTGGTGAGTTTGAACCGCTGTCCTTGAGGTTCAAACTGACCTTGCAGTCCAGTGCATTATCCTGCAGTGCCACACCAGGACTTCAGATATGTTGTTGTTGTTGTTGTTAAGTGCCGTCGAGTCGGTTCCAGCCCATAGCAACCCTGAACAGGGTTTCTGAGGCTGTAAATCTTTACGGGAGCACAAAGCCTCATCTTTCTCCAGCGTAGCCCCTGCTAGTTTCGAACTGCTGACATTGCGGTCTGCAGCCCAATTTGTAATCACTACACTACCAGAGCTCCTTTTTGGACTTCAGATATAGATATAGATATATAGCTATAAAGGAGCTCTGTTAGCGAGCATAGTGGTTGCAAGTTGGGCTGCTAAACCTTAAGGTCAGCGGTTAGAAACTACCAGTCGTTCCACAGGAGAAAGATGAGGATTTCTACTGGAATAAAGATTTACAGCCTTGGAAACCCAATGCATGCTCTCTATGAGACAGAACTGACTCCACAGCACATAACCACCACAACTACCATACAGATACAGATACAGATATGGAATCCTGGTTTGGTGCTGTAGGATAAGAAATGGATCATATATATTTGATCATTGAACAGCACAGATGAGTATAAAGAGAAAATGAGTCACTCCTAATCCACTTTCTGGAATGCTGGTGTGGCGCTGCAGGTTAATGCACTGAACTGCAAGGTCAGTTTGAACTGCAAGGTCAGCAGTTCAAGCTCATCAATCTCTCCTCAGAAACCCTATACAGGGTCGCTATGAGTCAGAATCGACTCGACAGCACTTAACAACAACAACAACAGTCCACCTTCTGGAGGCAGCTGCTATTAGTGAAGGCAAGGCCTCCTCAGAGATAAATCCAGGCCCTCGCTGAGCCATCAGCAGAATACATTCATCCAGGAGTCTGGGGCTTGTCTGCTGTACGTGGGCACACACTTACACAGCCTCTGCTTCCTTCCTCCCTCCTTTCTGAACTTTCATTCTGTCTGACCATAGCCCTTGACTCAGACTCTTCTCATCTTCACACAGGTCGTCCCTGCTCACCCCTTAAGTCCACATGTGTGATTTCAAGAGGTGAGGGGTAGGGAGGAGGGA